CAGTGGGGAAACTGTAAACAGGGGGAAGATAGCAGTGCATTGGCATTTCAGGAACAGCAGGCAGTAAAGGATCAGAATAAAAATTGAAGGGTGATCCAAAAAAGGGGAATTGTGAGTGAGAAAATAAAAACCCTGTAGTATGTGATAGAGCTTGAGAGGAGCAGTCTGTGCACAATTAGGAACAGTCACATACTGAGGTGACATAGGCCAAGGAACTGAATTTAAGCAAAACATCAAACAGATGGACTGAAACCTTTCACCAGCAGCTGTATTCTGTTAACTCTTAAGTAAGACTGAGGTTAGGGAGAAAAGTGAGGAAAGGGATGATTATGAGAGATTTTTTGGGGTAAACTTATGGGGTATGACAAGGTATAGGGGAAGAAAATTACAGCCAGCTGCTTAACAGAAAATAGTCTTTGCCTAAGCCCAGGGCTTTCTGCCTACTGCCATTTCAAAGATATCTTATGGTACCATGTCTCATCTGATCTTGTCAGGGACATGGTTTTTCTAGCATTCCAGCATCTCTTGAATTTGACAAGGTGCTAGAAAGAACTCTGATGAACCCCAGCTGTGTTACTATCTTCACTTATCTTTTTTTAAAAATCACATGCTAGTCTCATTTTGGAGAAACACAGAACCAAAATATTCAGTAAAATATCAAACAGTTGTCCAAGTCCAATTTAAATATCACAATACCATTGGGTCCCATGAGACTGCTCAGGGCGAATACTTAACTTCAGGCTGAAGTGTTCCATGAATTAGGGATCACCACAATTTTGATCCTCTCTCCACTTAAATCATCATGGCTGGGCTTCGCGAACGAAGATTTGGGAAGGGCTCTACCCACGTTTGTTGCAAGTGTGTTGGTGGTTGAAAAGGCCAGTACGAGACAGGCACGTCCGGTTGCAAAAGGCACAGCAGAAAGACTCCTTAGGTGGTATATTCTGCAAGGCACAATTCTTTCTGTGTTGCCTTTTCTCCTCAAGGGTGATCCTGCGTGCGTTCTCAAAAGCATCAGCAGCGTTATAGATGGTTCTCCACTTAAATATTGAATAGAATATAGTGTAGGCCCCAAGAGCAGGCATCAGAGGAAATTCAAGTAGCTCAGAGAAACATGCAGAACCATGGCATTTCTTTTGTTAATTTTATGTTTAATGATTCATAACAGGAATATCTTTCTATGTCAAAATGAAAGGCTTCCTGGGTTTGATACTGTGTGAAAACCCTACCTGAAGTTTGGAGTTGAAGTCAACTGTGGTACTGTAGCTATTGGAACTGTTACAAAATTGAGATACAGACATAAGAGGTAGTATTCTAAATATTTGGCTAAAAGATACAATGAAATTGTGACTGTAGCCTGAGAGACAGAAGAAAATGTCTAGTTTTAAAATGAAAATACACAATGTTAATATAGTGCTACCTTTTTGCTGTAGAATCTATTAAATCCTCTAGTACACTGTTTTACTCTAGTATTTTGTTTTTTACAATTAAGAATGTAACCTTTTTACAGGAGATTTAAAAAGTTAAGTCTTGTTGTTCTAAAGTAAAGGCATGCTGCAGGTCACAACATATCCTTTCTGACAGTGATTAACTTCAGTGCACTTTAAGTGAGGTTACAGGCTAAACACAAAAAGTTGTACTATTTTAAAAATGCAAAATATATGATTGCTAGATACGTATTTTTTAAAGTGTGATTAACATTCTTCATAAAAAGTCAAGAACAAGACCATAAACTGATGTCTGCAAGATATATTAAAACTTGTTTACCAAATCTACCAAATCGACGTAAAAATACATTGTCTTCTCTAAATAAAAAAAAAAAAAACAACACTACAATGCAGTTTACATTCTCTAACTTCTGAAACACAAAAATTACATAAGGTATTGCGACACTTGTGCCATCAGACGTATAAACAAGTTCCACCATCGCTATTTGAACTATGCTGAGTCTCATCTAATTCTGCTTAAAACAACAACACAATGAAAAATGGCATCCCACTGGACCATCTGACAAAGTCCTTGCTCCTTAAACTACTAAATACTAGAAGGCAGTGATTTTTGGATATCTTGAGGCAAAGTACAGTTAGTTTGCCTGTGTGGTGGGTTGACTCTAGCTGGACACCAGGTGCCCACGAAAGCCACTCTATCACTTCCCTCCTCAGCTTGACAGAGGAGAGAAAGTGTAACAAAAGGCTCGTGGTTCAAGATACAGACATAGATAACTCACCAGTTTCTGTCGTCAGTAAACAGACTTGACTTGGGGAAATTAGTTTATTACCAATCAAATCAGAGTAGGATAATGAGAAATACAAACCAAATCTTAAAGACACCTTCCCCTTCTTCAGCTTAACTTTACTCACAATTTTCTCTACCTCCTCCACCTAATGGCACAGAGAGGTGGGGAATGGGGGTTGCAGTCACTTCATCACACGTTGTCTGTGCTGCTCCTTCCTTCTCAAAGGAAGGACTCCTCACATTTCCCCCACTCCAGCATGGGGCCCCTCTCATGGGAGACAGTCCTCTACAAATTTCTTCAGTGAGTTCTCCCCATGGGCTTCATAAACTGCTCCAGTGTAGGTCCCTTTCATGGGGTGCAGTCCTTCAGGAACAGACAGCTCCAGTGTGGGTCCCCCACAGGGTCCCAAGTCCTGTGAGAAAACCTGCTTCAGTGTGGGCTCCTACTCTCATGGGTAGACTTTTTGCTACATCGATGCTGGGATAGTACTGCCAACTAAAATTCACTAATTATAACCAAAGATGCTTGGACATATTATGAACAGTAGAAATGGATAATATGGCCCAAATACTACACTACTTCAATACCACAGTCTACAGGACACTTCTGAGACAAAAAAGTTAAAAAAATATACCCATCTGAATGCAAGAAACAAAGTCCATTATTCTGGATGGATACCACCTACTGCTTTGATACATACCAGTAAAGGGCAGGAGGGTTTAGAAACAGAGTTAACAGGCTGTCCATGCTATCTGTAATCTTTAGGAAGCCATGAGCTTTCCAAAAGACCAATCAGTTAAGCTTCCAGAAGGGTTATGATAATACACAGGTTAAAAGTTCAAGTTAAAAAGAAAAAGAGAAAAAAGTAAAACCAGAAGCCTGTATGTTTTATCAAAAGGCTGAACAATTTGTTTCATTAAATAGAACCTGCAAAAGACAAATAAAGTCCCTTAATGTTAACATGCCACATGAAACATAGCAGTTCCCTTTTGCTTCCAGTTACATGGGCAATAAGGCCAGAAATCCTGCATATTTTAACTTCCTTTGGAGTTCAGGCCAAACGACAATTTACCCAGTGATAAAGAGAATGAGTGTGGTGGTCTTACATATCTTTGCAAAAGAATGAAAGAACCAACAGAGATGCTGGCCCTCTGCTTGTACCCTTACCAAGCCAAAGCTATCCAAAGCACCATCTCTACCTAAAAAATGTAGGGTTTTTTAGCATACTTGGGTCAGAAAGAATTTTGTATTTGCACGGAGCAAAATGATAAAATAACCATTTAGTAAAATTTATTCATATGAGTATGAAAGCCATGTAGGATGTCTAAGCAACAAGTTTTCACTGACTGAATACTCTATTAGGTGGTGATAAAAAAAAAGAGGCCATAATTACATATTTAAAAATACACCAAATACTTTTCCTGTTTACACAAATTGAAGCAGTGAAATGAGCTACAAACAGAGCATCGTGATAACCATGAACAATACAGGCACAAATAATCTTCAGTATATAGTTAGATCTGAATCTAGTATATTCCTTATATTCAATATTATTTTCCTACAGGACAAAGAACTCTGAAGTGACTTTTTGCATACTGTCAAGTGAATGATGTATTTCCATTCAGAATCATTATCTCTCTAGGATTTTATTACTATAATTTTTATTCCTGGCCTACTGCTAATCCCATTTCTTCAATCCCCTAGCAATTCGTCATATGAAGGATGAAGGCATAAACACACTTAGAGAACTGTGTTTCTATAGCAAATAAGGTGTTCTGTTAGAATCAAGGTCAGTAGCAAGACATTAAGATAAGGAAGCAACAGTTTAAGAGCAAAGTGTTCCACCATTCAATACATGGTTTTACTACACATACTTTTTTCTAATATTTCCTTTTATCACCATATATCAAATGGTTACTCAGGCACTGTGTCTCTAAGAATGATTTAAACTATTTCCCATTCATGCAGAGGTTTAGAATTTACATACAACTGTTTGGGAAACAAAAAGTCTACCTCCACTGCTGTTTCCCCAGTAAAAGCAGGCATTTACATTTGTGCAGCTTTAATTAAAGTTTAGAAAAAGATAGTACACAGGAGATTAAACACCTTATCAAGAGTGAGTTTACAGCCTAAATGGAGTTGTTCAAGTGATTGAATAGGAAGATTATGGTAGGTTAGCCAGAAAGGTTAACAACTCAGACAAGCCAGCAAGCAAGGAACATGAATGGGATGCAACTTCCTTTCTGCTACAGGCTTTCAAAAGGAAAAAAGAGCAATCAAGCTTTACATGTCCAATAAGTCTGCACAAATCTAAAGGACATTCTTTACAGTGGTGTACAGTAGAAACGTAAGAGACCATGGACATAAATGAAAGTTACAAAGGTTCACACTAGTTAAATGCTCAGGGGACAGTCAGGCATTGAAACAACTTTCCCAGGCCCATACATTCTCCACTGTTTAAGGTTTAAGACCAGACCCGGTGAACACCTAAGTACATTGCTATGACTTTGCTTGGAGAAAGATTTTGGTTTAGAAGACATCCTAAGAACCCTTTTATCTGAATTACTTTAGGATCTTAAGCTAATTAAACTCAGTTTTAGCCTATGCCAAGCCTTACAGTGGTAATTTTAAATAAACCTTTAACATAGCAGGTTGAAAATATATAAACTTTACAGAAAATAAAGTTGTTTTCAAATGTCAATGAAAGCAGTGTGGAACATATGTGAAGATTCATGTTCTCAAAAGCATACACCAACAACACACATAAGATGCCCCAAAATATTTATTCATTTATCTCTTAAAAAGTACATTACTCTTTAGGAAAAAAGCCTAAGAAATCTCAATACAGATTAAAGTATATCAAATCCTGCACATACTTAATTCTGATGTTTAAGTAAACATCAGTACCATCAAACCAAGCAAGATAAGACTTCTGAAGTCAGTAGCAATGAGGTATTGGGACAGAAGAAACCCTTAAAACAAAGAGGTGCTTCAAAGCCTTTGAGCCAGGCAGAGCCAGAGTTCTAGAATGCGTTCAAGAACCATGAAATCTCTCTAATCCTTTTGATCTTCATATGCTGCCAAAAATGCATGAGTGTTATAACAAAGAAATAAGCATCTCAGTATACAGTTACAAACTGGTAAGCCAGTTCATCAGTTCAAAGTAGGCAAAAAAGCACAGCACTGTTCTAAAACTGAAAGAGATAGAGCTTGGGGCAGGGGGGTTGACAGGTTAGCATGAACCAGTTAAGCTATTTCCTTGAAGACGTCTCTCCTTCCTCATGGTATTCAGGGACCATCTCAATATAGAAGAAGAAAGAAGGAAATTCATTATCACAGGACAGTAAGGAATGTACTTTTTGCACTCTTGGTAAAGTTTTCAGTGTTTAGTGCAGGAAAAAGTCACTGAATGTTTATTTCTGGATGTGCACACAGGTGAGTTTACCATAACTATGTGCCAGCAGTACAATTGTATCATTAATGTGTTTCATATGTAAAGTATTAGCTGAAAATATTCTGCCTTAAATGGCTGGAGATGCATTTTTGTTAGTATCTCCCCATGTCTTTCCCTTGTTAAATGCAATAATTTAACCATCTTGGTTTTACTAGGTGGTAAAAGCCATCTATTCCACTCAGTCCTAGTGATCACAGTAGGAAAGATACCTCCCATCTGTCATTGGCCCCTTCAAGATTTCTAGGATGTTTCAGTCCAGGACAACTAGCAATGAGACAGACCCTCACAGTGGGGGATAATAAATAGGGACAATTGTGCAGGTGAGAAGGCTAAAGTGGGACATTACTGGTGACAAAGGAAAAGTTTACTTTAAAGGTGCAAGTGTCTATTCAGCTAAAACCTTGACAAGTGAGTCCTATTTGGAATGTAGCATATGTCATAGAAGCACTGAATGTTGTCTTTGTTCCTTTTTAAGAGTATAAACACTACCTTATGTTCTCAAGTAAGAAGATGCTAATCAGACTTAGATGCAGTTACTTAAGCAAGTGGAATGATAATGCACAAGATACACAGTTTCATGCTAAACAAGAATATGTAAACACCCAAATGAGTCATCAATTCAGATAGTACCAGACACCCCATATGGATTGTCACAACGCAGCACCATAGCAGCATTTTGATTTAAGGAACAGTCTTGCTGCTCATTCCATCACATTTACTTCACAGTGGTAGCATTAGCAGCACTGTGATTTACTCTCTGCTTTCAATGGGTCTAGGTCCAGTTTTGGTTTCCCCACATCATTCTCTTCATTTGGAAAGGTTTTGTAGTTGGCAAGGATGTTTTCCACCAAGAATCGAGCAGCTTCGTCTATGTTGATGTTGTCCTAAAGATGTTAAAAGCAAAGAATTCAGTGATTTTTTTGAAATAGTCACACGTTCCTATTAAAAAGCTGTCCAAAATGAAAAACTTCCCTTCAGTCTCATCAGCATGACACAAACAGTTTAGATGCATCAGGTCATTTTTTTGAAAAAAAGTTACCAGAAAGGTTTGAGACAAAACTATTCACCCATATTACAAATTGAATACTGTGACTCTAATTCAGTAGGGAGTCAGGGATATAAGTGTCACCTGCATATGGAAGACTCAAAAATGCCAAAGTGCTTTTCTGCATCAGGACAGATCACAGGTAATTACACTGCATTGTCCATAGTGTTGTAAGGCCTTTTGGGGCCTTTTGCTGTTTTTGCTGCAGTTTGGATGCACTTATATATGTAAAAGGACCTCTTCTATGAGCCTCAAAGCCACAACTATTTTCAGGTGCTTCATCTACCCACTCTACATATTCTTATGCATGCTTTGAGAAGTACCTTCACGTACACTCTAAAGAAGGTCTGTATGCAGAATACCTAGTGATGTGCTTTGTCAGGATATCCCAGTTACTGAGGGTCTAAGCTGGCCCTAATACCAAAGGGTCTTTGGCCACTGCCATGTTTGGAACTGCTCATCTTTGGTTCTAAAGAAAATACCAGCTCTGTACACTCTTCTGTTTCTCTAATTGTAGATCTAAACTCTACATGAGCAAGGTTGGATCGTAAGAACATTTGACCCATCACTACTGCACTTTACAAGCTTGTGATTGTCAGCCACAAACTGCTTTTGGCAGTTTACAGATAGGCACTTTCCTCTGCCCAGAGCAGAGAAGGATTCTCTTCATTTTTGTGTAAAGATGTCCATAAGATATTTCTATGAATACTTATACTGTCTGCAGTTCTTTCACTTTTAATATTCTTCCTACAGAGTGGGACCTGTATTACTGAAGACTAGACTGAAGATTCAAGTATCAGTTACAGCAGAAAGGCAAAAGCAAATTAACAAGGTATTGAAGTGAGCAGGACTTGAAACCATAAACTGATTTGGCATGCTCAGAAAACAAGAAAGCTGTCCTGCATTTTTGCTAAGCTCTTTTAACTACACCTCTTCTGCATCCTAAAGTCAATTCATAACTGAGCTATGACTTATTATCTTGATTTTCCTCTGCACCAAGAACCTTGTTTTATACCATCATGTCTAAAATGCCACCTAAAATGCAAGCTATCACTACACTTTCACATTAGGTTTTGTTCCAATGTTACTTGCATTTATTTTCACCCCATGATGAAGTTTATAAATAGCAGTGTTATGGGCAGATAAAGCTTCAGGGAAGATGTAACCCAAAGCAGAACCTTGGTATTCTTTTTGAGTATAGAGAGCCTTAAAAATGAGTTTTTAGTTTTTAGATGAGTGAGTTTGCAAATATTTGTTCCAATGCAAACAGATTCTTTGCTAATTTAACTAGTTCTTTTCCCTGTGTATCCTTCCTTATTTCAAAGTGATCAAGAAGCAACTTTTTACTTTGTTTCCAATATTCTTCTTACAGACTTTTCTTTAAAAGAGTTGTTGAAGCATCATTGTGTGACAGTTCAGCAGCAGCAGCAGCTACAGAAAGTAGACAAGCCAAGGGAAAAGTGGGACCTTGAGGCTTAGCTTACTTTAAGAGTTATCAGCCAGATCAGTAATCTGGTCTGTCAGCCACAGTCTTGATCTAGAGCAACCTTTCATTTTAAGAATCAGTTGAGCTTTAAGGAAATGCTGGATTTCATTTCCAACTAAGCTGCCGCAAGTTTCTCTCTGCATTGATAAGTCCACAGACTACAACTGTACAGTATATGAAATCCCTCAAAGTTAACTGTTTGAATAAAGCAGCTGTCTTTCTTAAATTGCTATACAGAACAATTTGTTTTGCATCCAGTTCAGTCTTGACATTGCCTGATAAAATAGAAAAGTGCTTTAGCAACGCTGTGGGTAGGTAGTAATAAGTGAGCAAACTTTAGCAAAAGTCTTGCCATTTCCTACATACAACAGTGAAGACAGAAGTTATAATTTTAAAAACTGCACCTAAAGATTACCTGTATCTTTTAGATAGTTTGATCAGCGTTTAGTAGGGTTAAAATCTAAAGAATGACTCTGATCCTCATGCATGCAAGATGAAAAAACATATCAAACTCAGATAATCAAGATCTCCAGAAAGTTTTAAGGGTCTCTGAATTTTAGATGCAGTTCTAATCTAAACCAAATATGCCCCATCTTCCTCAGGAGTGAAGCTAGCCTGCACAACACTTCAAACTTTTGCTGAACACTGGAGATTTGACTGTCACTTCCTATACATAATTTCATTTCCTACATGATTATATTCATCCATTCTTATGCCAATACTCAAGAGACTAAAAACATGTTTCTATTATGCTCACCTTGGCAGATGTTTCAAACCATCCAACAAAGCCACCTTCTCTGCAGAACTGGTCCATCTGAGAGGGATTCTGGCTGCCATCTTTCTTCTGGTCACACTTGTTTGCAAGAAGAACAGCAGGGATAGGACTGCCATTGGGAAGTAGTACTTTACTGTCCAAATCATGCTTCCATTTTGAAACAGCCTCAAAAGTGGAGCCTCTTGTGACATCAAAGACCACAAAAGCACCAACTGCCTCTTTGTAGTATACTCTGGTCATATTTCCAAAGCGCTCCTGGCCTGAAAGAGAAGACAGTGATCAAGTATATTTATATTGAAGCATGAACTGTATTCAGTGTAAATGGACTACTGTACCAGCTTAATTCATAAGTTTGGTTTTTGGGTCTAGTCATCTAGTTCATAAAACACTGCCCCTTTTATCCTATGTCATCATGGCTAGGCTTCATGAACAAAGATTTAGGTATATGTAAGTTCATTGTAACAGCCATTATATATATTACACCTGACAAGTCAGGTGCTGAAGGTAGTTTGCAATCCCAACTATCACTTTGATTTTTTTTAAACTTATTTGTTGAGTAGTGTTCTTTGAGAAGTAATGCCTAAAACACTACCAGCACAGCTATACACAAATCATTCTTTCATCAAAAAATATCAAGGTTTATATCCAAATCTAGTTACTTCAGCTACAGATTTAAGCAAACTCAGCCTTTTACTGAAGGGTGAGCAGCAAGGGTTTCTGCAAGCTTCAAGGCTAACAGCCTTCAAAGCATCTTCTGAAGAAGTCACCTATATTATAGATTTTTCCTTAGGGATGAGTTCAAAAGGAGCTAGCTTAACAGTTCTAGCTAAACCTGTTATCTTTTACTTCATCTTTTAAGCCTAAGATTTTCTCTGGATCATTTTTCAACTATAGAAATTCTACAGCAATCCCAGGATTTCAAACAAGATTATTGGAATAGTTAAAAGTATGATTAATCACAATGAAAATGCAGAAAAAAAAAATCAATCATCAGTGAGCAGAGTAAAAAAAGTCTTTTCTTATTAAGAACAACTATTATAGTCAGTATACTTGAAACGTAGAATTAGAGTGTGCCAGTTCAGTTATTCTTCTGTTTGGGCAGTCAGGCCATGATGATGTGTTTTTATACTTGAGTGTCTATATACTTGAGTGTATACTTGAGTGTCAAGTCCTACTACGTTGTTTTGGAAGTTTGGGCTATTAAAATAGCTTCCTGTTTTGTTTGGAAGACTTCATTGGGAAAAGTAGTCCCTGCACTTTATGATGTAGGTTTACAGTACATCATGACTTCAGTTTTTATCACTTAGTGGATATGAGGTTTTGCAATACATAGAGAAAGTGGGAATTGTATTTGGAAACCTAGTTGTCCTGTTTATAAATGTTCAAGTCCACCTTTGATTAGCAAGGGCAAACAGATACAAGGAGAACTGGGCGTTATCTTCTCATAAGGAGCCAGAAATTCAATAGGTGAAGGAACTTCACAAGGGACCCTGTTCAGCAGCATGCTTTCCTAGCTCAACTGTCTCTTTTTAATATCAGTACTTCGGTGTATGATTAGCTCATTCCCTACAGACATTTTCTGAAAAGGTTGCCTAAGCAGCTGTTAGAATTGCCTGAAAGCAGCAGCAGCTGCAGTAAATTTCCAGAGAACTATGAAGAAGCTGACTTGATTTCTGGCTGTTCCCTTTAAAGTACGATGCTGCATAAAACAGCATCGGTAGACAGCATATTCTTCAGAATGGAAATGACACATGAATTACTTCACTACCAGCTAATTATTGCATATGAGAACAAGCAGCCTCCAAGAGGAAAGCTCTGATCTCCCTATTCAAAGCTCAAGTTTTGAGGCAGAATTTATGCCATGGATTCTAAGGCCAGGCACCAAGACTGCATCTCTGAGACTATGACACTGGAAGAGCCACATTGCTAATACAAGTCTCCTAAAGAGTGTATACAAGTAACTCACATTGTCTCCCTAGGTGTTTCCAGGCTGGACTCTTACACCTAAAAGGTATTTTTAGTATAGCCTTACTGCAAACTGTTGTACCACGTGACCACAGTTTTCACAAATCAAATACCGTTAGCAAAGAGTTAGACCAGAAGGTTTTCACTACTTCTGGAGGCCAATTGTGTCACTTCCAAAGAAGCTTTACCTTTCAGTTGTGGAGATTATGTTGTTTGGGGTTTTTTAATGGAGTTCTACACTCAAATTTAGTTATATTAAGCCAGTCACTGCATAGGGTACCGCATAAGCAATGAGGAGCTCCTTGTAAGCTTCCCCTTTGTTTAGCTGTCAGTCTAACCACCAATTCCTGCCATTTGGGAACACTTCAGACTATGCTAAAGTGCTTGAGTCCCGTGTCCAATTCAAGTAGTATATCCCGTCACATCATAGGACAGATCCACAAAACAAACAAGTGTAATCTCAAGGTCTACAATGCTCTATACCAACTCAGTCTTCTACAGAAAGAGTTCTTCAGCCCTGAAATGGTGCAGAAATGAACACCACTTGCTGTTATTTACACGAGACTGAACATGAATCTGAAGCAGCAAGGGAAACAGTCTCATTAGTCCTTCCTAATGGAAAGCTGGGGGGCTTTCGATCTTGAATTAAGGCTGTAAGTTTTTCCAAAAACTTGCTGAACATTTACATAAGGAAATTAAGTTTTATTGATTAGTTGCAGAAAGGGTTGCTATACTGTTACTAGCAAGGAGTACACAGCACAATCACTACATATGAAAAGTAAGTTATTTCAGAATAGCAGAAAAGGTTATCAGGCAGTTACCATTTCTCAGATAGCTGAGCATGTTGTAGGTAAACATGGCTGCAATCAGTTACCACAGTGAAGGACATCACCATTGACTGAATCCCTTCCTGCCTATTGCCCTCCCATCCAAAACAGCTTTAAAGAAACACAGCTAGCAAGGCAACCATACTAGCCTCCTGTAGCAATAACCTTTGCCAAAACATGCACAACAGTGCATTTAAGGTGTACAAAAGAGGTCAAATTAGTACAGCATTACATATAATCTTTCAAAGAAAAAAAGTTACAAAGTATAGCTCACAACCAAACTTGACAAAGTCCTAAACACCACCAAATGGCTTCTCCTAGAGAAGTACCAGGGGACCTAGCCTTTGCCAGAAACTCTGATCATCACTCAGGTAAGTTTTTCTATTCCATTTCCAAGAAAGTCCCAACATTTTACCATAGTCTGTCTTCCCCACCCACCTGGCCCAATGCTTTTACACACAATGAGCTGGAGAGTTGCACTAACCAAGGTTGCCTGGCAGGTGGTTCCTTGACACTGGTGATTTCTCATGCCCCAGTGTCTCCCAGCCTATGTGAAGCTTCAACACCTTGCAATGTCAGCCAGATATGCTGTACCAGAAAGGCAACAACAGGTTTGCAGCAGAACTACCAATTCAGACTAGCTGAATCCCATCATGGCCTTACCAGGAAAGGCCACTGTAAATGAGGTTGTGCTGCTAACTTGAAGACTCTGGAATTCTAGAATAATGCAGATGCCTTGTACAAGGTTAGCCTTGTACAGTGGTTTTTTCTCAATGCGTACGACAGCAGTTTTGGTAGGAATGCAAGCCTGCGGGGATGTTACTTTGTACTCTATAGCAACCACTTTAGAGACCATGGGCTTCAGCTGTCCAGAACAATCATTTAAGTATTATTTCCAGCAGGCTTTACTGATAGAATTTAAAACTCTTATAGTACTCTCTTACAGTTTTAGATTTGGAAAAACATTAATACATATTTTTCCACAATTTTAATTTGAGTGAAAGTAGAAAAGTTATGTGCATTATCAGCATGAAAGTTTCTATCTTTATGTATAAGATTTAAGCTTTATGTTAGAAGGATTTAATATCTCCCTTAAACACACATAAGCTCAATATCATTGTATTTTTAGAGATAAATGCCTTTTAATAGGTCAAATACAGCCCAGTATGAGTGCTGCCTTTTCTAAAGTAACCCAAACTCCAAACCAGTTTATTACAGAGCTGTTTTCACCTCTAGAATTCATTCACTAACAAGAAATCTGACCTGAATACTAGCTTACAACTGCTTTTCCATCGTGTCTGGAGGCCTAATGAGGATGGATATACTCTATTTCATAGAAAGAAGACAGAAACAAGAGGCAAGAATTTTGTTTAGTAAAAGGTACATGGCATGAGGCAGGAAGAGAATTCCATTTCAACTAAGAGGAATTTCTTTACAATCGTGTCACTACTGACAATGCACACGCTAAGCTTCTCTTAGGGGGATGAAGAGTATTCAAGACCGCCTTTTGAAAATCTAACAGGACTTTCAGGCAGAGCTTTTGCGAGTGCTTTTTTGCTTGCAAAAAACCCAAAAAAACTCATACAGAAAAAGCAAACTGTAGAACACACTACTCCTCCAAAGTCAAGTCTGATCATCATTCTCTTTGTTCTTAAAACTAAATGTCTCAATTTCTGCCATGCACAGTTAAGAGATTTGTCATGCCCCTTCCTATGTCCAGCAGGATGTTTGCTGTACTCATTTCACCATGTGTGACAATAGTCTTGAGCAATGCAGAAAGAGGATCATACCCCCAGAGGAGAAAAAGGCTAAAATTGATCAGATTAAACTAGACTTAAAATCTCCAGTGTGTATAAAGTTGGAAAGAAGAGGGAAGGAAGAAAACTACTTGCTTACTACAACAGTATAGAAAGGACATCACAAGACCAACTATTCTGGTAGGTCTACTGCCTTGACATAAACCTGATGGTACCACAAAATATACTTTGTGTTTTAGGGATTCAGGTATAAATGAGGAGCTAAGCTACTGGACAGTCACAGGGATCAGAGGTTTTATTCAGAGGTGTGGAAGTGACTGCATGCTATGCAAAGTTTTGCATTCTCAACCACAAAATTTTCACATCTAAATGACTCTGCCCATATTGTCACCATATTGTCCAGTAATTGCAACAACCTTAAGTGAAATACTTGCACAATGACATACACCAGGAACTAATACAGTTGCCTACAGCAACACTACAGGAATAAAGTTGAGTTTAGAACGGTATCAGAATTTGGGAGCTATTATTACTCTCCAGTTTACATTGTAATGGGGGATGAACTGTAAGTTAAAAACTACATGAAAAAAATACGGCCAGGTTTGAAGCTTTATCTTTGTCCCTTACTTCACAGCAAAAGATAAGTTACCACTGTAAAAGTCAAAAAGAGTGTCAACCTTGCCTTGAAGTGAGTGCATTTTAAAGAGTTTC